CCTAGTATCTAATATAATAACTTGTCTATTATATTACATAACCCTACCTTACCTCTATTAGGCTATACGCTTCCTATTTAGACAAAGCTAGTCTAGATTTGTCTAGGTCCTTCTAGACTAGGAAAAAAGTAGTCTAGTCCTTACCCTACTTTCTTTACAAGGCGCATGTACAAGATATGGCTGATAGACTGCTAAGGGAGCGTGGTAGGAAGCCTACAGGCAAGAACTAGGTTAATAACTTCATCAAGCGTACACTAGAGCTGTGCACGTAATAGAGCTGTCTGTACAATTGCCAGCAAGCTGCCTGCGAAGACCTAGCGCTTATCTAGCCCTGGTTTAGCGTAGATTAATTAATAAAGACAAAGTATAGTATTATAGATAAGGACACCTAGAACTTTAATAAGTCTAGCTTTATAATAGGCAAGATATCCTCTTAGCTTGTTATTATAGGCTTAGAGAAACCTAGGAAATAGAAGAAACTACAGCCTAGTAATTATAAGTAGGTTACCCTAGTATAAGGTGTTATTACAACAGGGCATATTATCCTACCCTTTCTTATCTTTGCAGGCAAGGTCCTAATCTCCTCCTAGTTTACTAGTCTACCTTGTAACTAGGTTGTTATAGTCTCTCCTACTAGCTAGACTAATAATAATGTTGTAATAGCATAGCTTAAGCACTTTAACGCCTATACAAAGGTGTTGCAGCCAAAATAGAGGCAAAATGTACATACATTTGCACCCCTAAATTGGCTGGTAAATAGGCATGATATCTGCTGCGACACACCCCCTCACGTCCAACCAGGACAGCATAATTAGAGGTGACACAACGCAGCAGAATGCCTAATATGCTAAGTAATAGATAAATCCTTCTTTGCAATGCTCTATTGCTGCAGATAGCACGCCAATAGAGCAGGTACTATGCCAAGACCCTTAGCTATAGTCACCTATAGAACACGAAAATCTATTTAATCTTTGCTTGCGCAGTTGTAGTGTCTAGGCTCATAACTGTTGCAGCTAAAATAGAGGCAAAATGTACATACATTTGCACCCCTGAATTGGCTGGTAAATAGGCATGATATCTGCTGCGACAAAAGGTGACCTCTGCTAGGGCATATAGGCTGCTTATTATTAACAGCTATAAGAGCCACTGCTTAATAGAATTCTAGGACTACTGCAAGGAGAACAAGATTATCACTCTCTACATGCCACCACACTCATTGCACCTCCTGCAGCCTCTTGACGTTGTCCCATACTCGCTGTTGAAGCGCCACTACAGCAACAGGATCTCGCTCTTGGCACGCAGCTGCATCTACTATATTAATAAAGAAACCTTCCTACTAGCCTTTAAACTAGCTTTTAAGAGGATGTTTACACTAGAGAATGTTTGCGCAGGGTTTTAAGGCGCTAGGCTAGCCCTGCATAACCCTAAGGTTGTGTTATTGAAGCTTGATGTACAGCTACGTACGCCAACGCCACCTGCACAAGGCACTGTCGCCTGGGAGGCGCAAACACCACGCAACGCCTGCGAGATAGAGGCGCAATCAACACTGATCTGAAATCGCATACAAAATTAATATAGGTTACTAGCAAGTTTATTAGATAAGCAGGTTAAGTAGTTAAGTAAAGGCACTTAATAGATAGCTTATAATATAGTGTTAGTATAGGAGGAAAAAGGCTACCTATAAGACACTATTACTACACTTACAAAGCGCAAGACCTGTAAAAGGCAGTATGTACGCGTAGAGGAGACTCTAACAGTTAGTAAGGTATCTAACCTAGTTACTAAAAAGGAGGGTAGTAGTTATAAGGAGGGCAAGACGCCTGCAAAGAGGGTGCGCGCAGAGAGGCGCTGCGGCCATTGTAGCAAAATTAGGCATAACTCCTACACCTGTAAGGTAGAAATTAAGGATGTAGATAATAGGAACACTTCTAAATAATATTATAATGTTATGTGTAGTATTGTAATTTATTGTAGTGCTGCGCTGCACTGCTGCGTAGGCGCGGCGCGGGTGTTTGGTGGACGACTCACTTGGGTGAGCGACTCGCTTGTGAACCACGTTACCTTTAATTTGCAAGAGTTTGCAACTTAGCTGTGTAAGGTAGTAGATATAGCTAATAAACTGTTAGGTGTGCGTAGTAGGAAGCCTGTTAGTAAACTCTAGGCTATAAGATTTGTAACATGTTTAGATTAGCTTAAGATAGCGTTTAACTAAGCAAAGGATAGACAGAGGATACTGCAGGAAGATCCTAAGGTAATTAAGGCGTGGTTTATGCTAGTAGAGGGTACTAAGGCTTAGTATAGCATCTACAACAATAACATGCACAACTTTAATAAGACTAGGTTCTAGATAGGCGTGATAGGGTTAATAAAGGTTGTCACAGGCGCTAAGAGACACGCTTAACCTAAGCTTGCTCAGCTAGGCAATTAGGAGTAGGTTATAGTTATACGGAGCATCTGCGCTGCTAGATATACGACCCTGCCTTTTATTATCTACAAAGGACACATCTACATCTCTGCCTAGTATATAAAGACAGATATCCTATACAATTAGAAGCTCTCTATCTCTAAGAATAGCTAGAAAAATAACGTGCTTAGCCTTAAGTTGTGGAAGCATTTAACACGCATACAAGAGCGCGTTAGGTAGGGGACTACAGGCTACTTATCTTAGATAGCTATAAGAGTTACCTTAACTAGAATTTTAAGGACTACTGCCTAGAGAACAAAATCCTTACTCTTTGTATGCTAGCTTACTCATCACATATCCTCTAGCTACTTGACGTGGTCTGTTCATTGCTGTTGAAGCGCACGTACTCCTAACGCGTCTAGGACTTAGCACGCTAATGCGTCTTCTACATTAACAAGGAAGGCTTCCTTCTAACCTTTAGAGATATGTTTCTTAATATATTTACAAAGGCTAACTGTTAGAAGGCTTTTAAGGCATTAGGGCTAGTTACTACTAACGCGTAGGTAGTGTTAGATTGCCTTAAGGTGTAGCACTGTACCCTACTAGCACCCCCTCTACTAGAGACACTGTGGCAGTTAAGGGCTCTAAGCAATACAAACAAGTTTAGATCTTAGTTAAAGCTTATACATAACCCCTTTACCTAGTCGCTAGTTACAGCTTAGGCTGGCTTCTCTTAGCTTATTAAAGGTAGTAAATTTATGCTGCACTAAAACACGCTTTAAGCTGCTTGCATTACTAAGCTTAAAGAGTATTTAGCAGTTATAATTAGGAGGAAGTCGCGCAAGCGAAAGCAGATTTAGCATAGCAGCACACTTAAGTACAGCCTAGCAGTATTACAGGTAGCTGCTAAGGTGTCTGTAGTAGCTTAGCTGTTAAAGAAGACTTGTGGTGCAGATACTTAAGAAAGGACCTATTTAGCCTAACAACGCTGTAGAAACTATAGAGGCACTAGGCATAACGCTTAAACGTGTTAGAAAGATACAGGAGAAGATTCTAAATCTAATGCAAGTACACAGTACGCTAGATTACTATTTAATAGCAAGTAATTTAATTTATTGTAATATAAGTTGGGCGCGCTAAGAGTTTTTGACTAGTTTGGTGATATAACTAGCTCGGTGATAGAGTACGTTATCCTATTCTAGGTTGAAGGGGAGTAGTCTAGCCCCTTAGAGCCTGCCTTAGATGTTGCTAGTAGTAATTGCAGTGTTATAGGCCGCCTTAAAGAATAGCAGGAACTTAGTCTTTGTAATGAAGTTAATCTGACTCTTACCGGGGTGCAGGCGAACGTCTCCCAGATTTGCATAAGCACGACGTTTCTTGTCATTGGTGATCCAGTTTGCCTTTCTCCAGATGGCTTGGGCAATGGTTTCCTGAGCGTTGACCACGCTTCCAGCCGTGTCACGGTGTGTCTCATATTTTGGCCTCCTGATTTCATCATCTTCTCGAGACTCTACATCCCGCCTTGCTGCCAATCTGAGGCTACGGAGGTCCCAACCCGACCCATGTCCATGAAGGATTCAAAGGATCTGAGGACGCGCGGAAACTTCCCAAAGTCTCCTAGTCGTTATCGAACAACGTTGAACAACTTTTGAAAGTTGACCGTTGCTGTTTCACAACATAATGCGATAACGCTCACATCGGCCGTTGCCGCGACCTTCCACATTGTCAGCGGTGCAGTAGGTACATGCCCGCAGCCCAAGCTACCAAAGCCCCTCAAATCTTGCTCAAGTAACCCGCAACATACCTACTGCGTGTCAGCGCCTGCCCTTTTGGTAAGCGAGAAGCACCAACGATATGAATTCCGCCGCAACCGCTTCACATGGTCATCGCTTGGGGTTCTCTTTCTACTGTCGCCCTAGATACACAAAGTTTGCGAATTACATGGTACATCTCTTCCAGTCCGCAAGTCTAACAGTCATCTCGTCCTTCGTCTTTTTTTCCCTTTCCATTTGCAGAACGTGGTCTGAAAATATAGGCAACGGCTCGTCATAACGTATTTTCATGATCCATCGCGATACAGGGCAGCTCTTGTTGCTCTAGGATATGGGGTTGTGGCGGATCGCCGCCCAATTGCGCAATCTACGACCCCTGCTCACACCTTCGTATTCGTCGCCCCTCCACGAACGCATCAGTGGATACCGGGTCACATGCGTCTAGAAGGTGCATAAGTAATATCCTGGTAGAGTCTAGATTGTCACGACGGGAGCACGTGACATGAGTGTTCATCGCATCTCTCCAGTATTCATCACTGAAATGAGTTTCAGACTCATCGGAACGGAAGCCCTCGATCATTCTATAAGAAGGTCAGTATAGTCTTAGTAACGCTGGGTTCATATCTATAACCATCGCTCGAACAATACTTCGTAGAGGAGTGAACAATAAAGGAGCCGAGAAGATTGTGATGACATAAATGTGGCACAGAGAATTGACCCTCATGTACGACGCATCAAGAGCGACTCGAGTGCAATTAAATGCGAGTTGATCGTGTCATAGAGCTAGGTCTGTAACGTACCGTGTCTGTGCACCGTCCCCAAACGCCCAGCAGGTAACGTCTTGTCAGATTCTCGCACTGTGAGCCAGAGTATGTGCTTAACGAGATCTTAGGTGGTATGATGATTTATTGATGATCGTGGCGATGGTGTCCCCGCCGTGGCGTCGTGCTGGTTGCTACAGGATTGAAGTGGGGGGGGAATTAGCGCTGTTCGCGGCCGCCGGTGTGCGGGCCAATTAGGAGTTGCCAGGTCTCGCTTAATTGACCTAGCAACTGCTAATTAGCTGCACAACAGGTCCCTGCTTAATTACGCAGATCTAACCTCTTACTACTTACTCTTATCTAACATACCCCCTTTAGCTTAGAAACTCTTTAAGCTAACTATTTATGCATATGTAAGGTTCTTAATTTATTCTTAAATCCTATCTAGAGGTATGCTGTTTAGCACTTCTATTAACTCCCTATTTACTAGACTAAGTTGCTAGAGGAAACCTTCCTACTTGTTTACTAGGAGTACCTTTGTAAATCTATCTGCTATTATGCTTGCAGACTAGACGTGTTCTATAATAATCTTTCTAGCAGCTACCTCCTATTAGAGCTAGTAGTTGTAGATATCTATATACTAAATTTAGTATATAGTTGCAACACTTCCTTAGTAACTAGTTAAATTATTTGTTTATTATTATATTGTATTATAATAGCGTGTGTGCCTATATTAACATGTAGTTTACACAAGAGCTGTAAGATAAAGAGTGCTTCTTTTACAACCTAGGTAAGAGTAAGAAGCTTAGCCTTAGTTATTAATATTATTACTATGTCCTGCTTATTTACTTTCTATGTAATAAGGCTGCTAAAGAGTTTAATTGCGTAGCCTTAGGAGCTCTTTCTATCTATAGTGTTGTTAGCAAAGGACGTGTTACTTGCTACCTAGAGGCTGATACCTCCTCTAAGCTGCAGTGATCGCTGTTTAGTGTTAAGTAGATATAGAAGGACCTAGTCTGCAGCATCTTAGTGGCTAATGCCTAGATTAGTGAGGAACCTAGCAAGCCTTAATGTGGCAAATGCAATGTCAGGTTGCGTGGTGACTGCAGTAAACAGCAGTGATCTAATTTTGCGTTAATACTTATTAATTTCTGCTAGCGCTGCTAGTCCACTCCTTAGCTATAGTTTAGTTGTTGCTATTAGAGTGTTATGTTGTATAGTTATATTCTTAGCAAGGTCACTAATTTTGTCTAAGTATACTGCCTAAGATAGGTAGATTTTCTTGCTTGCTTAGTCTTGTATAATCTCTATGCTAAGGAACTACTATAGGTTGTGCCCTCCTATGCAGGTGTACTTACTCTATACGTAGCTAATTGTATATATTACCTCTTACTCTTTTAATTTATTATACGCAAGGATAATATTATTAATATAAAAAAAGATAATAATGCTGCCCTTAGTTAGATAGCAGGGTTTATAAGGCATAGTCTAGAAACCTAGTGCTTTTAGTGTTGTAGTAAAGTTCTTCTACTAGAGGAGGGGAGAGATACGTAGGCTGTAAAGTGCCTTGTTTACTTACAGTATTATGCTAGGCTTCTAATAGCCTTGTGGCATCCTTATGTAGACCTCTCTGTCTATTATAGCATAAACAAACGCGTTAGTAACGTTGTATTATTTAAGCTCTATGTTATAGTAAGCTGCTATAGCTATTATTATTTAAAAGGATTAGCTAGCAAGTGTGGCTGCATAGGTATCTTGTAATATAATATTGCGTTGTTAATTGCCTCTAACTACTAGTTACACCTTACACTTTAGTAGTTAATAATATCTATTAAGCTTATAGGTATATACCTATATATAGTTAAGGATCTGTTGTCCTGTTAGTCTAATTTTCTAAAGTAGTACTTCTAACTATAATTTTATTTCTTAGTAGATTGTAAGGTGCTCTTACTTAGCTTCTTAAAAGAGTTTACCTATAGGATAATCCTTAAGCTTAGTTTAGAATATAGGCAGAGGTAGAAGTTAACTTTAATAGGGCTTTAAGCCTTTAGTATGTATTATAATTATCTTAGCCTTGTCTATACCTTCTCCTCTGTATATTCTAACACGTCTAGCTTAGGTTCCTATAAGGAATAATGCTGCCTATAGGACAGTAGTTAAGGACGCTTATTGTGTTAGAGTTGTTTAATTACTAGCTATAATGCCTATAAGTAGTGCTGCAGGTAGTAGTGTTAATAGATAGGTAGGATAGCTATCCTATATCTTCTAACTGTAATAGTAGCCTAGCAGGTCTACTTTGTCTTGTAGTAATAGCTCTGCTAGAGCGTTATCCTTAGAAAAGGAATCTATTTCTAGTTACTAGGTAGGTGTTTATAGCTTAATAGATTATATATATATTACTATTTCTTTAAGTGTGTTGTATATAAGGTCCTCTATAAGGTCCTTAATCCTCCTCTTAAATACTATATCTATGTTAAATATAATATATTAAATGCTTATTACCTTACTAAGTAATAGTATCTAGATTTAATAAATATTTAATAACTAGTAGCCTACTAGATAGCTAATCTAGGCCTTTAGGTCTAGTTATTAAAGACATAATTTGCCTCTATATATATTGTCTATTATAGTAAACACTTTATACCTATATACTCTTAGGTGCGTAAGGTTAGGTTTTTATAGTAATATTACTATTCTGTTGCTAAAGGTAACTCATGTAAAGAATATATTGTATAGTGTTTTCTAATGGTTTGCGTAGTTCGGCGTTCGATTGTAGAGGTATACTGCCGCCCTCGTGATTTCTGGGGTAGGGGTGTGCGAGTGCTTCACCACTAGTGTTCTTGATCTGCTCTTGCTTTGTGCGCGAAGTAGCCCTTAAAAGGTAACATCTTTCTTATACTTAAACTTAATAAGTTTAGAAATAATCTTATTTAGTTTCTATTACTTAGGAGCTCTGTCTTAATTAATATAGCAGTAATCCTATATAGAGTAGCGTTGTCCACATGCAGGGTATTTTACTCCCCTAGTAGAAGTAGGCTCTTAATCTAAAGGCTGCTTAAGTGTAGTAGTTTTCCTACCTACTGTATATTAATATTAAGGTCTGCCCTAGTTAGATAGTGTGCTTACAGCATATTAGGCGTCCCCTTTATAGCTCTAGGAGGCTGCACCCCCTTTAGCAAGAAATACTGTATTATTAGCTATAAAGGCCTTATTCTGCCCTAATCTAAGGGGATAATTTATTATTATATACTCTTAGTAGTGTTTTATTATCTCCTTCTAACTTATACTAGATTTAAAGTGTCTACTATCTTAAAAGCTTATAGCCTAGGTAGGTGCAACCCTATTTATAGCTATTAGGAAGTCCTTTATTATTATATTTAATTATAATAATTTAGCAACTTTGTATATCTCTACTTCTATAGCTGCCTAGTTATACTTAGCTAGCTAGGTGTCCTATTATAACATGCTTCTTATTAGCTTAAGTGCTTAGAGGTATCTATCTTAGGCTTATTCTTATTTAATTTATTTATTAACCCTAATAGTAAGTTATAGGTCTGTAATCTACTATTATAGTAGTTTCTTAGGAAGACAGCATGTGCGTAGTAGATATAGCAATTTAGTTAACTAAATAAATATAATAATATACTAAAGGCTTACTTCCTCCTTCTTATATTTGTGTTAATTATTCTTATAACGTAAACCCCCAGCACCCGGGCCAACCCAGCACCCGGGCCAAAAAAGCTTGGCAGTACCAACTCACGTTACAACTCTTCAATTTCATCGCTATTTAACATAGAGCCTGCGTACGCTGTGCTCATATCTGATTTAGAATATGCCTCTATATCTTTTTTGCACGTTCGCGCGTTGTGTCTAGTCCCTCTACAGTTTCTACAGCGCCGTAGAGCTGGTTGAGCTTGTTCTTGATCACCACCACCACAAGCCTTCTTCGACCGCTCAGCGGCTACAGAGGCCTCTGCGGCCACCTGAGCTGCTGCCTCACCATACTCCATAGTACCACCTTGCTAGATCCGCTTCCTTTTGCGCGATTTCTGCTTAGTTATTACTGCTAATTGCTCTTCAAGCTCAGTAATCCGGGCTGCTTGAAGCGCGTTCTGATGCAGCATAAGCTCACCGCCTCTAACAAGCTGAGAGAAGCCTACTTGCGCAGTAATAGGCGACTGAGTAAAAGACTCGCGTACAAGCTTCAACTAAGATCCAAACTTGTGGGTATTGCTTAGAGTCTTTGACTGCCACGGCGTCTCTAGGAGGAGGGGTTCTGGCAGGGTACGCAGGCGCACTTCAAGGCGATCTAACACGACCTGCGCGTTAAGAGGGACTAGCCCTGCTGCCTTAAAGGCCTTGCGACAGTTCTCTGCTGTAAACACGTTAAAAAACGCGTCCTTAAAGGCAGGGAGGAAGCCTTCTTTGTTAATGTGGAAGACGCGCTTGCGTGCCAAGTCTCGTACGCGCTGAGAGTACTTGCGCTTTAACAGCAAGAAGCAGACTACATTAAGCGGCTGGAGGATGTGCGATAAGTAAGGTGGCATGCAGAGGGTAAGGATTATGTTTTTGAGGCAGTAGTCCTTAAAATCCTGGTTGAGGTGGCTCTTATGGCCGTCCAAAATGAGCAGCCTGTACGCCCCCACCTGGCTCGCCTTTGTATGCGCGTCGAAGTGCTTCAGCCACTCAAGGCTGAGCGCGTTGTTCGTCCAGCCGCTCTCAGAGACAGAGAGCTTCTAATTGCGTGGTATATCTGCCTCCTTGTACCAGGCAGAGATGTGAACGCGTCCTTTGTAGATGATGAAAGGCAGGGTACAAGATCCAGCAGCGCAGACGCTCTAGATGACTGTTACCCACTCGCGATCACCTGGCTGAACGAGCTGAGGTTGATTACGTCTCTCTGCGCCTGTGACAACCTTCATTAAGCCAATAACACCTATCTAGAAGCTAGTCTTGTTAAAGTTGTGCACGTTGTGGTTGTGTACGCTGTATTTAGCTTTCGTGTCCTCTACTAGCTTAAACTATGCGCTGATTGTCTCTGGATCCTCCTGCAGCATCCTCTGCCTATCTTTGGCTCGATTAAAGGCCATCTTGAGCGTAGCTGAACGCGTCACGAAGCGCTCAGCCCAGTGCTTGCCAACAGGCTGCCCACCGCGTACACCCAACAGTTTGTCGGCCATATCTGCCACCTCGCACAGCCGGGGCGCGAATCCTCGCGAATCAAGGTCAAGAATGTATCGTACAATTGTTTGCTCTTTGGTGCGCGTAAGCTTATGTTGTGCGTTACGTCTATTGTTAATATAGAGTCTGCCTCTATACCTAGCACTCAAGGTTGTACGCGGTACGTTGAATGCCTGAGCAGCACTTCAGAGGCTTTTAAATTTATGTAATTAGAAAGCAGAAAGGGCAAGATTAATTCTACCCTCTTGTTTAGATAATTGCGCATCTTGTTGGCAAGGCATTACGTGTTAATATTAATAGTTGTGGTCTTGGCAAGAAATGGCCCGGGTGCTGGGTTGGCCTGGGTGCTGGGGGTTTACGTTATTATTTAAGGAGTACTTTATAGTACTTAGGGTCTTCCTTAAATACCTTCTAGCCTATTATTAATAGCTTAGTTAGCCTTAATAGTATATTAGTGTTTGTAGCTAGCGTGTATTTAGTAATAGTTAGAGCCCTTAGTAAGAGTAGCTTTAATAGTAGTGGTGTAGTTGTCTTTAGGTTGATCTTGTCCTAGATATTGCGCGACAGGCATCTCGCATGTAGCTGCGTGAGCTAGCTAGTCCAGTTAGCTTGGTCCCTAAGGACTGTTGTTGGGTCGCGGTACGCTGGTTGCGCCATTTTGATTGCGGCAGTAAGGTTGCGGCAGTTTGGTTGCGGCAGTAAGACTCTTAATTATTAGATTCTTGCACTGTGAGCCAGAGTATGTGCTTAACAAGATCTAAGGTGGTATAATAATTTATTAATAATTGTGGTGATGGTGTCCCCGCTGTGGCGTCGTGCTGGTTGCTACAGGATTGAAGTGGGGGGGGAATTAGCGCTGTTCGCGGCCGCCTGTGTGCTGGCCAATCAGGAGTTGCCAGGTCTCGCTTAATCGACCTTGCAACTGCTGATTGGCTGCACGACAGGTCCCTGCTCGATTGCGCAGATCCGACCTCTCGCCGCTCGCTCTTATCTGACACGTCTACATCACATTTCGACACGTAATAACTCAACAGCATGCTAGGATTCAGCAATGCCCTTGCAGATATAGATGCAATAAGACTAGAAGAAGAAGTTGTCCATACAAAGATTGCAGAAAAACAGAGTGTGTTGTGGACAACGTTGTCGCGCGCCCACTAAGGCGTGCAGGTCCCCTGCTATATCAAGACACGCAACAGCTAAAAACTTAACTACTAATAAGAAGAAGACCTATTTAAGTATATAGAGAAGCTAACTAGTCGTTACTTGCTACCTACAAGGCATATAGTATAGAAATTTACATCTACAGTTGCCTTAAATCCTAGCTTTAAAAGCTAGGTTACTGTCAGATAAGAGCGAGCGGCGAGAGGTCGGATCTGCGCAATCGAGCAGGGACCTGTCGTGCAGCCAATCAGCAGTTGCCAGGTCGATTAAGCGAGACCTGGCAACTCCTGATTGGCCCGCACACCGGCGGCCGCGAACAGCGCTAATTCCCCCCCCACTTCAATCCTGTAGCAACCAGCACGACGCCACGGCAGAGAGACCATCGCCACGATCATCAATAAATCATCATACCACCTAAGATCTCGTTAAGCACATACTCTGGCTCACAGTGCGAGAATCTGACAGTTACTTACTTCCTCTTGTAACGACGCAGGCAAGAAGAGAGATATCCAGAATAGGTGTGAATCCGCTACGAGGCATATGGGAGTGCTAGGATGATAAGAACACTAGGATATATTCTCTACACCTATAGGTCTTGTACAAAAGGATATAGAAAAACTACTTTATAATGCCACAGTTCCTTGCTCCTTGTTACAACGCTCTACGAACAGTGACTCGATACCACTATGATACGGTTCTAGCAACTTATGACCATGGCCCTTGTTGCATGGCATAAGCTCACACTAAACTGCTACCAAACCCTTATATATAAGGAGCAAGGAACTGTAGCATTATAGAGTAGTTTTTCTATATCCTTTTATACAAGACCTATAGGTGTAGAGAATATATCCTAGTGTTCTTAT